TATGTAATCCCCAGTAGGAAAAGTGAATGCATTCACTTTTTATTTACATTTTCCAGGAGGGTGGGGTGAATCTAATGGGAATAATTTCTGTTCGCAGCTGCTCTGCCTTAGTGGATCTGCATTCCTTTAGGATTATTGTAAAAATTATAGTAAGGCTGGGGGTGCCTTTATGGGGTACCGGGGTATGGTAATAAGGCCCATGGCAGAGAAATTGAGTGCAGGCCAGTACAGCAACACAGTGGAGGTCCAGAACTCATAAACTGTTGACCTTGCTAACAGTTCTCCTCAGCCGAGTCCTTGCTCTTAGGCATGAGGGGCAGTTCTTTTATACTCAGCTTGTGTTAACTGCATGGTTCCAACAAGGAAGGGTGGTCCTCTCCCACACCCTGGAAAGGATGCTTCCTGAGCTTCCCTGAGCCCTGTCATGGACGTCATGGCAGTCAGATAGATCCTGTCAGTGCAGGCGAGCTCCAGCCCAGGGAGTCAGACACGCAGGCTGATCTGTGCATGGCACATGGCTCCGCCGTAGGCTCTGATAATCCCACCATGAGAGATGAATGGGTCCCTGAGTGGCTGTCTCGTAAAGTGAGTTCTTCACTGTTCTGAGATGCCACACTAGGAGGAAACAGGTCATCCCTGAGATGGGATTGTAGGAAATCTGATGGTTCTGGGTGCAGCGTGTTCTTCCCCTCATGGGCACAGCGTGTTCTTCCCCTCATAGGCACAGCGTTGGCTGGTCCTTTTACTGGGATGTGCCTTCAAGGCAGACTGAGAGTTGGCCAGCTGGATGTCACTCCTGCTGTCACTCACTGGGAATCCGAGCCTTGGTTCTCTCATCTAAGAGAGGGTGAGATTCCCCACCGGCAGGGCTGCTATGGAGACCACAAGGACCGCGTTGGCACCCATGCCCGTGGGCACTCCATCCAGTAGGTGGAAGCCAGGGTCCTCACCATGGCCACGTGTGGTTTTCCACTGCAGGTCTGCAGGTGGTCCTGAACTCCATCATCAAGGCCATGGTGCCCCTGCTGCACATCGCCCTGCTGGTACTGTTCGTCATCATCATCTACGCCATCATCGGCCTGGAGCTCTTCATGGGGAAGATGCACAAGACGTGCTACAACCAGGACGGCATAGCAGGTAAGTGGGGGCCCTGGGTGGCAGAGCTGCGAGAGCCGGCTCCTTTCTCACCACCATCCTCTGTGGCGGAATGTGCCGCTTCCACACTGCGGGGAGCCGGGAGGAGGCCCTTTGCGGCAAGTGCTTACGTTTCCACGTCATGGTTAAGTGAGAGGCAGAGATGGGTCTTCTCTCAGGCCCAGCTTTTGGTTTTACTGCAATAGTTCTCTGTTAAAACAGCCAGCATAGACTTTGCCGGCACGACCAGACTCTGTTTCAATGAGCTACATGATTTGAGAAGCGTGCCGAGAATGCAGAGTGTCTTTCGTCAGTCTATCCCTTTCCAAGCCAAGCTGGGTATTTGAGACTCGTAACTAACATGGACGGTGCCCTGCTCCATCAGCACTTGGGCCCTTCAGGAGGTCAGCTCTGTCCTTGGCCAGCGGGCAGGTGTGGAATGACCCCTTGCCAGCAGTCAGACTTCTCAAGGAGGAGGCTTAGCTCTATGTCTTGACTTCTGAGCCCTTTCTTTTTTGAGACCTCTCTTTAGATTCCTTCCACAAATCAGCACACGTCCCAAGCACCGCTGGCTCGTTGAGCCCGTCCCTGAGTAGGGGAAACTGGATTTCTGGCTTGCAGGACATGCTACCAATGGCGTTTTAAAGTTGCTAACATTTCAGCTTGAGCTTTCAGAAAACGTTTAAACACAAATTGACGAGACTTTTAACCAGATGCATAAAGCAGTTTAGTGCAAAAAACTTGTTGAAAAAACTATCCCCCGGCCCAATGGTGTTAACAGCATTAAATTTATATCATTTCTTTGCTCTTTTTGCCTCCTTGGTTTTGGGCTTCTTGGGGAGGACAGGGAGGGCCAGAAGGACACTTCATTTCTCCCCCGCTCTCATTCCCACTCAGTCTGGGCACTAAGTTAATGGAGTCTTCTGGCTCTGGGGGATGAAGAAGGACAAAATCTACACACGCAGAGTGGAGCCCACGTTTAGAAACCAAGATCAGTTTCCTGGTGTGTGATCTGGGTGGTCTGGATGACTGGGTATTCGCAAAGTTCGTAGGTCACTGCACACAGCCGCAGTCCTGGAGAAGTAACGCCTGCAGTCACAGTCTTGCAGTTGTTTTCATGTTTTGACCAAGAGTCTGTTTAAGAGGCAACTTTTCACTCAAGGAAGATATTTCAAATTACTCAGATGGTAATTGTGTAAAATAAACCATTGTATTTTTTAAAAATAGAATCCCTTTAATATTAGAAAATAAATCTCTTACCTTTAATTAAAATTCTAAACTTTTCAGCCTTTCTTAAAAAAAATGCTAAACAATATAATGGATAATATCTAAGGAAGATATTTCAAATTACTCAGATGGTAATTGTGTAAAATAAACCATTGTATTTTTTAAAAATAGAATCCCTTTAATATTAGAAAATAAATCTCTTACCTTTAATTAAAATTCTAAACTTTTCAGCCTTTCTTTAAAAAATGTTAAACAATATAATGTATAATATCTTCCCCTTTAATTCAGGTTCTTTTTTTAATTCACTTCGATCTGTAGCTAGCTCCAAACCAATAAATTGATATGAATTGTGTGACTTTATTAGAGCCATTGTAAGAGCTTCCTAAAAGCTGTGAGCAGTCCCTGCAGTTGCCTTGAAATGATCAATGACCCGTTTGACCCAAACTCCTCAGGCGGTCACAGAGATGTGGAGCCTCAAAGATCCCCCATCAGCTCAGCAGTGAGCAATGGCGTGGCTCCCACCAACAGAATGGGGAGAGTGAAATGGTGCCATTTCGCCCCAGCACCAAGGACGGCGACCTTGCTGCACAGTCGTGGAGAGCTCTAGGAACTGCAGATGGTTTCTGTCCTTCTGGGGGGATGGGCAAGAGTGTGTTTGCTACTGAGGCACATGCTCCAAGGCCTCCTTTATGTCGGTCGGACGTCAGTGGACTTTGCTATCAGGACTCGGTGGCCTCAAATGGCAAGAAAATGGCGGGTGTGGTGGACAACAAAAACCTTGGATGGGAAGCTGGGGCCAGAGGGTTCACCGAAAAGGCAGGCTGCCTTGGTGCTGAACTAAAGGCCTCCTCCTCCCTGAGGATAAAGATAGACTCAGCCTCGCTGCCAGGAGTGGCCAATTTAGGATTACATTATCCCCCCTTGATAGAAAACAAAGCCAGGGAAGTCCCTCAGACGTTGCCTTCAATTCCCATCGAAAGACTCATCGGATCATTTATGGGAGGGGTTTCATCTTCACTCTGCTCCCCTGATGGGGACAACCACCAGCCAGCCAGGCTGTCAGAGGACAACGAGGGATGCGTCCCAGAGAGGGGCGGTGCCAGCTCTACCAGGAAGGTGGCCTCACTGCCGTGCGGAGCTGGAATCCCCACTGGGAAAGACGGGCCACGGACACTTCGCTGCAGAAGCCTTTTCTCTGGAGCACTCCACGGTTAGGGGCCTGATCGCCTGTTCCCAGACCTGCTGTCTGACGACAAACCGAGGACCCACTCCACTGTCCCCAGCAGAGCAGGATACCACTGTCACAGAGCCGTGGCCACCCCACAGAGACGAGGGAAAATGCACAGAATGTGAACTTGCTTGAGGCGACGCATAGTAGGGGACCACGGCCTGCTGTCTTTGGAACCAGTGCCCGAGTGTTTTGGAGACCTTTGGAGACCTTTGCATAATCTTCAGAATACATGACTTTTAAAAACAACTCAGACTTTTGAATTACCTTATTTTCTGCAAATTTAGATTCTACGAAAGTACTTTGTGAGCCCTTGTTATAATTTTTTAATGCAATTTACACAAAATTCTTCTATTATTTTACAGTCTGGGCATTCAGGTCCTTCTAGAGGCTAGAATACAATAGCTTTCTGAGCCGCGTTCTCTGTGGAATCCACAGAAGAAAGCTGTGCGGCTGGCCAGGGCTCCATTGTCCTGCCTCTGGGCCGCCGGTCCGGCGATGGTCCCCAGTAGCGACAGTCTCAGGGAGGCAAGCTCTCCCAGTCCCTGAGGCACCCACACGCCCTTCTCGGTTCCTCAGCAGATGTGTCTGTGTGCCGGCGCCGTTGGTGTCTGGTTGTGCCATCTGTCCGATGGTGCTGAGCCAGGTCACTCTGGATAATGCTCCTTGCACAGTAATTACCCCTGGGACTGGCAAAGAATTGTTTAGCCAAGACCTAGAAATGAAATCATTTGCATTCTATTCTCTCTCTAAAGTTGGGTCCTAAAAAAAGTAATTGTATTGTCTTTGGTGACTTCTCCTTGAAACCACCAACTGGGGCCTCCTGGGGTTTCACGTTCCTGTTGTTCTAACTGCGCTTTGAAAACTTCCCAAATCTTCTTCTCCAGCATTTTACTGAAAACTGAATTTGGACTTTCCCAAATGACTCCACCTGTCTTGGTTTCTAAATTATAGCATCAGCCTTGGTTGTTTTTGTTTGTTTGTTTGTTTGTTTGTTTTTGATTTGTTTTTGTTTTTTGTGGGGTTTTTTTGTTTTTGTTTTTGTTTTAGATTTTTGTCGTAGGGTGCTGTGCTTGCCAGAGAGTAAAGAGACAGAGGCAGGGAAAGTGACAAATCATCCCCCAGGGGGATGGCCATGCCTCAATTCATTCTCCTCTCAGGATCTCACACATGCACCCGGTGTGATTTTCAAGCCACAGGGTCTCGGACTCGAACTGTGGGGATCTAGCTGCCTTAACCACCATGCCACCTGCTGGCTCCCAGCCTTGCTCTTTTTCTTTCTCCCACCTCAAGCTCCTGCTCTCCTCTCCAAGACTTCATGACTCTGCAGAGCAAAAGCAGCACATTTTCACATTCAAGCGAGTTTCTCCTCACTCTGGAGGACCCGTCCCCAGGACCTGCGGATTTGCGTGTGTTCACTTTTCTCCAGTGTTCCCTTTGGTGCTTTTTATAGATACCTATTTTTACCAGATCATCCCTGCTTCTTAATTGTTCTCAAATCTCTTTTATTGTTGTTCGAGACAGATTTAAATAGCAGAGCGCTACTCAAGTCTCTAGACTGTCTTCCCTTATTAGTGAGATCACCTTCCCTGGACGCCATTTTTTAAACATGTATTTGTGAAATCCTCAGATACGTTTTTCTTCCTTGAGGACAGTTAGAGCTCGCCTTGGCAGCCTCCCCCTTTTCTTCATTCTGCTACTTCAGGGCTGAGAATGGCGAGAAAGTAGGCAGGCCAGAGACACAGTGTTCAGGGTAACAGTGCCCTTACTCCTCCAGAAGGCTCGGCGTGGCAAGAACAAGCGCAGCTTTCCCTCGATAGCCCCTCCTTTGTGCCCCACCTTCGTAGCCTTCCGGCCCTTTTACCAGCATCACCGAGCATGCCCTCTAGGAAGCTGTTGCTGGAGCAGGTGAGAAGCCAGCAGAATTAACCCTCTATTTGGCTCTTAGTTTTCCAGTCTCTCAACTCTCAGTCTCTTAGATGCTTATTATCCACTTTGTAATGTACTATTTAGGTTCTCTGTTTTATAGCCTTACATCCACATATCTTAAGATTTCACAGTTTCTTTCTTTCTTTCTTTCTTTTTTTAAGAGGGATTTTTTTATACAGCTCATGTGCTCGCCAGAAAGACAGAAAGCAAGAAATCACACTATGGGGGGATGGCCATGCTGCAATACTTTCTCCTCCATTCTCCTCTTGGGATTCTGGGCACACACACACACACACACACACACACACACACACACACCTCCAGCCTGAGCTTTTTAAGCTGCCAGGTTCGGGACTTGAACCCTAGTTGAGTACATGGGAGTCCAGGGATGTAACTATTACGCCATCTGGTGGTCCCACGATTTCACAGTTTCTAAGGTCACAAAACATCGTGAGTTGCAAGCAGCGTCGTCCAGCTGTGTTATGGAGCCCTCCTGGGAGGCAGACTGGGAAGGAGACGGTGTGGACACTGCCGTTTTCCCGCCCCAGCTTCAGGGGCAGAACTTTGTACCCTGCAAAGGCTCACACAGCACCTGAAGCACCGGACCGGGAATCTAACAGGAAGCAGCTCTAACCCCAGTAGCCCATGCCGGGGAGCCATCTGCATGGCCATCAGCCGGCGAGCAGGTGGACACACAGTGAAACGTGGGTGCAGTGGTAAGACGAGCAGACTCGGCTCTTGACGCAGTCACACAGGAGCCTCGGAAGCACTCTGCTAAGAGAAAGAAGGGGGACGTGAAGCACCACATGGCGTCTGATCCTATTTAGTGAAACGGCTCGGAAAGGCGAAGCTGGGAGACAGCAGACGGTGCAGTGAGGGGCTGTGGGTAGCACGAGGATCCAAGGCCAGCTGCACACAGCCACGTGGGGCTCTGGAGGGGCAGAAGTGTTTTAAAATGCATCGTGTGATGGCTGCCGCACTATGTAAATTAACTAAAAATAATTGAGCTGCATATTTACATTGATGAATTCAAAGGCATGTGAACTATATTTCAATAAAGCTGCTAGAGAGAAAGAGAGAAAAAGGAGAAAGGGGAGGAGGAGGAGGATGGAGAAGAAGGGGCAAGAAGGAAAGAAGAGGGAGGACACATTGCTGCTGCCGTGGCCAGGAAGACCCGACCGGGAACGCCTTTCCAACTGCAGCATTCGACTCCATTCTGCTGAGAATTGCCTCTTCATTACGGGTTTATGTCTCTTCCTGACGTCCTCTTGGGGTGAGCAGTTTGCAATTTCGAGCCATGAATAGCCAAACAGCCAGTGGTCTTCAGCACAGAGCCCACGTTCCACGGCAGGTAGTCACTCTGGCGATCGATCTGGTACAGAAGGGACCAGAAAAGGTCCTGTGTGGCCCGTGTCTCTCGGTGAGGAACTGGAACATCGTCTCTCCGGGGGGATATGTTCTCTGCGTCACAGACAGCCGTTTGTCTATTGTTGATTACCCTTCGTCCATATTGTCGTTACTTTGTATAACTACAAGACAGAGTTTCTAATTTCACAGTCAATGCCACAGTCACCTTCCACAGCCAGGCCAACGCTTTCTCAGTACTTTATCCTCAGGGAGATGCTTGGATCAACCTAGTCTTATTTAAATCTGCCAGTGATCTCTGCACCGAGATGATAAATCACACCTTTGTTTATTAATTTGCCACGAGCTATTCCCAGCAAGGGGAGTTAGCTGTGCACTGCCTGTGGCCACAGACCAGAAATGTCATGCTGTCACCTGAGAAGGCCTGTCCGCACCACGGAAGGATTCCACTGCCACTCCGCCTCCAGCAGACGGCCCAAGACGATTCTGCTCTTCTGAAAGGTCTTGGTGCCGAGAGCAGAGCGCAGCGTTGCCGGGTTCCATGTGGCATACATCAAATCCCACCATCGGGGTTTGTACCCAGGGACTGCATCCCTCCTCACTGCGGCTGCCTGGCCTCTGCCCTACAGTCACAGTTAGTTTTCCAACCTTGGTCTACACAAGCCTTCACTAGCAAGTGATTTGCATTCCTGGTCATGCATCCGGTAATATATAGTGGACCCAGAGTTAGCCTACTGGGTGGGAGCAGCTGGCTGACCATGCGAAGAAGTCTTTGAAGCAACATAGCCCTCATCTAACCCCCGGGATGGTAACGGAAGTGTCCACGGATACTTCGCCACCAGGACAAGGGAAACACAGACTTCTTGTCATTTTCCAGGATCGTCGTCTCTTGAAATGCTTGCATCATTACCATTTTTTTTTCTTTCCTCATGATGGAGTGTCCCACATAAAAGCAAAGGGGTTGCGAGCAGGAGAGGGAGAGGTAGCCCTCCCTGGGGTCTGCTCATTGTGATTCCCTCCTCAAGTCCTCCATCCTGTCCCATCTGGGGCACCCACACATGTCCCTGGCACGTGGCAGGTTGGCTGGACCAGAGATGTGAACAGAGGCCACCATGTGGGATCTGGCTGCTCTCAAGCAGGGCACTGTCACTGTGCCCCGGAGCTGGCCTCATCGCAGTTCCTCAGCTGCCACTTGACCCTATGGCTGCCATGTCATACGATGACCAATAGCCCTGCTGTCTCCGAAGTCGGCTACGGGGGTTAACACACAGTTTCTACCTCAACTGGTTGGAATGGCTGACCTTCTAAATCAATGGCAGCCAGAAGGGGATGCTGAGTTCCCGTGGTGTTAATTCGTGTGTGGGGGCGCTGACCACAGCCTGTTCCACGTGCCCTGGCAGTGGCTGTGTTGCCTACCCCGTCTGCCATGTCCCTTCCTGGCACTTTTCTCTCTGACTCCCTTTCTCCTTTCTCTGCCCTTCTCTCCCTCCTTCTGCCCCTCTTGTGTTTTGCCCTGGCTATTTGAGATGTTCCAGCAGAAGACGACCCTTCCCCTTGTGCTTTGGAGACGGGCCACGGGCGGCAGTGCCAGAATGGCACTGTGTGCAGGCCCGGATGGGACGGGCCCAAGCATGGCATCACCAACTTCGACAACTTTGCCTTCGCCATGCTGACGGTGTTTCAGTGCATCACCATGGAGGGCTGGACAGACGTGCTGTACTGGGTACGTAGCTGCCCCGAGGGTCAGGGCGGGAGTCCAGGGCTGGGCGCCTTCCCTGACATCTGTTCCCTGTGGCTGTGGGGTCACTTACACACCTTGATGAAATGAGCGTCTTTGGTTTCTTTCAGGCCTTTCCTGAATTTGCATGGGTCCTCTGTCCCCGCCCACCAGCCTCAGAGAAATGTATTCCAGTTTGTCCAGCCATAGAGCTGAACACTGGCTTGCAGTCGATGCTCTGTGAAGGAGCTGGCTAAGCCCGGCCAAGGAGCCCACTCAACTCCTCTTCCCATTGTAGAGGCCCTCCTGCTCTTCTTTCTCACCTCCTTCCCCAACAGGGAGCTCGAGGGCATAATTATGAATTCATAAGGCTAAAAAGAAAAGTCAGGCCTGGTCTTAAAAAAAAAAAACAACTATTGATATATAAAGAAATCATTTTTATTTGGATTATGTAACATTGTGGCATGCTGTTATGTTTTTATTTCTCATATTAATCTTTCCTGGACAAGTTAGCACAGTCCATGAGACCAATGCGCTGTCGTTGTTTTTATTGTCACCGACACACTCTGCCAGTGTGTGCGCCATGTTTACGAATATCGCTCTTTGGGCCAGCAGGTGGTGTAATGGCTAAGGCTGGATTCCCACATAACCAAACATAATGTGAGCCCTGGATGCAGCAGCTTGAAAATCACACCAGGAGCGTGTGCATGCATGCATACCCAAAATCCCGAGAGAAAATGGAGGAGAAGAGATAGTGGTGTGGCCATCTCCCTGGGGGATGATTTCTCACTTTCCCTCTCTCTTTCTCTCTCCGGTGAGCTTACACAGCCTATGGCAAAAACCAAACCAAACAAACAAAAACACCTCAAAGCAAAAGAAATACCACTTTTTGCATAGCAATCAACAGAAAATTTTCTTTTGCTTAAAAGATGCCACTTTTAGGTCCGTAGATAGCTCAGTGGTTAAGGCACTGGACTTTCACTCAGCCGACCTCGGTTTGAGCTCTGGACCCAGTGGCTTGAAAATCATATCAGGTGCATATGAGTGTACATGCCCAGAGTCCCAAGAGGAGAATGGAGGAGAGGGGACTGCTGTGTGGCCATCTCCCCTGGGGGCGAGAGGGTGATTTCTACTTTGCTCTCTTTGTTTCTCTCTGGCAAGCTCACGTACCCTATGGCAAAAAAAAAAAAAAAAAAAAAAAAATTTAAGACGCCCCTTTTATTATCCAGCAGCCAACATTGTTTTGTCCACCTCTGAGTCACTGAAGTGTCAGGTTTTTATACAGCCGATCCCACAGGCGATACATACACCATATTTGAGCTGTCTCCGTGCTGGCAAAGTCAAGTTCATTATTTGTAAAAACTCCAGAAAATATATTCTTTGTAGTAGCTCTTACTTCAGCATGAGAAATGGCTTGCCAGAATCCAGTGTTGTTCTCCAGAATTTGGGTGATTAAAACACATTGCCAGTCTTGAAAATATCAACTCTCCCAGAGTTTTGCAAATAGTCAAATTTATTTGCCTATCGTGAAGATAATCTAAGAGCCGGCTCAGGGAACATGTCTACAAACTACAGCCGGGAAGAGTGAGAGGGAAGCGAAGCCTTCCCACTGGGCAGAGCTGCCAGAGAAAAAGGAGACTGTGCCAAGAGAGGTGTTGACTCCTTCCCGAATCAGGAGCAGTTGTGCACAGTGCAGAGACGCGGTGCTGCCTGCGTCCTCTAGACTCTCCTTATAGGACTGGGTCCTACCTATCTGAGTGCCTCTTTCCCGGCTTTAATGTTCCTGTAAGATGTGTACCTCTCTATAAATGGCTGCTCAAATGTACGCCCTGCCCAGCAAACATTTACTGAGTGTCATTGCATGCCAGAGGTGCTCCTAGGCACTGAGGACTCAGTTGTAAGTAAGATCCAGCTCAATCTAAGAAAGCAGACTCGATTCTAAACCGGGCCATGGGGTCAGCAGGTGTCATAGCGGATACGGCTCTGGACTCCCACATGGCCATCTACAGTTCGAGTCCCAGACCTGGCAGCTTCAAAATCATGCCGGCCGCATAATGCATGCATGCTCAAGATCCCGGGAGGAGAATGAAGGAGAAGGGATTGCAGTGTGGCCATCCCCCCTGGAGGCTGATTTCTTATATTTCCTCTGTCTCTCTGGCCAGTGCGTGTACATGCCCAGAGTCCCAAGAGGAGAATGGAGGAGAGGGGACTGCTGTGTGGCCATCTCCCCTGGGGGCGAGAGGGTGATTTCTACTTTGCTCTCTTTGTTTCTCTCTGGCAAGCTCACGTACCCTATGGCAAAAAAAAAAAAAAAAAAAAAAAAATTTAAGACGCCCCTTTTATTATCCAGCAGCCAACATTGTTTTGTCCACCTCTGAGTCACTGAAGTGTCAGGTTTTTATACAGCCGATCCCACAGGCGATACATACACCATATTTGAGCTGTCTCCGTGCTGGCAAAGTCAAGTTCATTATTTGTAAAAACTCCAGAAAATATATTCTTTGTAGTAGCTCTTACTTCAGCATGAGAAATGGCTTGCCAGAATCCAGTGTTGTTCTCCAGAATTTGGGTGATTAAAACACATTGCCAGTCTTGAAAATATCAACTCTCCCAGAGTTTTGCAAATAGTCAAATTTATTTGCCTATCGTGAAGATAATCTAAGAGCCGGCTCAGGGAACATGTCTACAAACTACAGCCGGGAAGAGTGAGAGGGAAGCGAAGCCTTCCCACTGGGCAGAGCTGCCAGAGAAAAAGGAGACTGTGCCAAGAGAGGTGTTGACTCCTTCCCGAATCAGGAGCAGTTGTGCACAGTGCAGAGACGCGGTGCTGCCTGCGTCCTCTAGACTCTCCTTATAGGACTGGGTCCTACCTATCTGAGTGCCTCTTTCCCGGCTTTAATGTTCCTGTAAGATGTGTACCTCTCTATAAATGGCTGCTCAAATGTACGCCCTGCCCAGCAAACATTTACTGAGTGTCATTGCATGCCAGAGGTGCTCCTAGGCACTGAGGACTCAGTTGTAAGTAAGATCCAGCTCAATCTAAGAAAGCAGACTCGATTCTAAACCGGGCCATGGGGTCAGCAGGTGTCATAGCGGATACGGCTCTGGACTCCCACATGGCCATCTACAGTTCGAGTCCCAGACCTGGCAGCTTCAAAATCATGCCGGCCGCATAATGCATGCATGCTCAAGATCCCGGGAGGAGAATGAAGGAGAAGGGATTGCAGTGTGGCCATCCCCCCTGGAGGCTGATTTCTTATATTTCCTCTGTCTCTCTGGCCAGTGCACATGCCCTATGGCAAAAACCTTAAAAACAAGATAATAAATAAATAAACAAACCAGGTTGTGCCCTGGCAAAGTTCCTGTGTTAGGATACATTCTAGAGGTCAAACTTCTCAACTGCTCAGTGAAATTTAGCTCAATAAGCACTTGGTTTGAACAATTTGTAAGACACAGGGAAGTTGAACTTATACTCGGGCAGATTTGTTTCATTTAGCAAAGGAGATCGAGTTCCTTAGTGGCCTAATTGGTGCTTCCACCTTGGGTAGGTCCCTCTGGCCGCCAAGGATATCCTTTTGCTATGGGCCTAGAATACAGGACTGTGTGAGACTGCTTTGGGGCCTCACTGCACGGGCCTTTGAATCCCTGCCCCACGTTGCTGCAGGAAAGCCGTCATGGCATCCCATCAAGAGCAGGGTGCAGCTTGCGGTGGGTGGAGGGTTGGGGGACTAGGTCTGATTTACTTTGCCGATGGCCCTGATGTATTTCTGTGATCTTCCTTCATCACTCCCTCCCTCTCCCCCAGCACAAGTCATTGACACCCCACCAGCCAGCTGTGGCCTGAGGAGAGACTGTGACAATGACAGCCAGAGCGGGAAATGCGAAACAGCACACAACTGCAGCCACCAGTTTTCAGCAGCTGCGTTGTGCTTTCTCCCTGGGGTGTGTGCGCTAGAGCTCAGAGCGGGAATGGAAAAAAATGTCAGAGGTGAACAAACAATCCCAGGCTCATGGGACATGCCTCTGATTTTCCCAGCACCCTTCCAAAATGGCCGCATTGTGTGTGCGTGTATTCACACACACAAACACACAACTAACACTGAGATAGAGCCTCCTCCTCGGGGGTTCATGATGGAAGCACCTCCCAGCCCAGCGCTCCTGCTTTCAGACAATTTCTCTAGTGCTTTGACCTTTCTCTGGCTGTCTTCATCTCTTCCTCCATCTCCCTCTCCCTTCCTTCTTCTTTAGCATCTCTACTCAGCACATCTAACCCAGAGACCCTCAAACTCACATTATTTTAGCATTAAACATGGAGCTTTCTAAGTGTAAAAATATCCAGGTGTCCCTCCAGTGCACTGATGAGAAGTGTCCAAGTTAGGGCTCCAGTGTCTGCATGTGGAGAGAGCTCTCCAGGTGATTCTGAGGGCCAAGCTGGATTTCAACACCTAGAAATCTGTGAGTCTACATGGTACTGCTTCGACACCATTGGCTGTGACCCAGTTTAGGGAGTTAGCTCTGTGGAGATTGGGGAAATAGAACTTTTCACTCAGAAGAATCAACTTCCTTCAAGCCCCAAGGTCAAGTCTAGAGGACTTGAGAGGGAACAACCAAGCTTTTAAAGGATAGCAATGAGTGGAAACCCAGAGCCAGATTCGCTCTAAACCATCAAATAGCTGGAGAGAGGCATTTTGAGAGAGGCATAGGTCATTAAAGCATTAAAGAATCGATCGATTCTGTCGCTGGATAGCCTGGGATGGAGATGACCAGGGAGGTCACCACTTGCAAATGGCAGCCACCCACCTCCTATTGTGGATGATATTGAGTCTGTTTCTCTTTTTCTCTGACAGCTATTATTGTATTCCATTGTTACGGTTTTAGAAGTTAGTGGACTGAACGTAAAATCAAACTTGGTCAAGTGGTATTTGAACATTGCCTTGGCTACAAAAGCCTTGGCCGTGCATTGGGTCATGTTCCTGCTAAGCTGAATAATTTGCCTAAAATACTTC